GGTCGGATAGGGGATGGTGGGACACCAGCGTGTCGGGCTGATGTGCTTGGTGTTGGCTGTCGCTACCCAAAACCCTGCTATCGATCCGGACCCGCAGGAGCTGGCGGGATCGGCTCTGCCGTGGAGGTGGCAGATGCTCTCCAGGCTTCCCAGGGCCCTGCTCCACCTCTCCTTGCTCCGAGACAGGCAGGGGAGCTGGAGCGTGGTCAGGGCCAGCCCGCTGCCTGTGGCTGATAGCGCTGGATGAGATCCCAAGGTTAACTGTAGTTAACAGCCTTCTCTTGGAATCCATTTAAAATAAAGCTGTTCCTAGAGTTCCTTCAAAATAGGTGTAAGGGGAGGGAGGGAGGGACTTGGTCTGGTGTTTGGGTGCGGAAAAGGTCCGGAGCTGTTGTTTTGAGTCTGGATGTGAGTGGAGCAAGCAGAGGGGTCTCTGCCGAGGGGGTGAGGGTCTTCGTGGGCACGGGGGAGATCTCAAAGTGATGGCTGGGCCCTCTCTTGCCACTGAATCCCCATCCCTGTTTGGGGAGGACCACCTAATGTCTGTGTCCTGCCTGGAATGGTTTTGTAGGTTGGTTCTGGAGGGTGCTCTCATCCTGCTGATTTGCAAAAAAAAATTTTATAGCCTCCTTTGTCCAACCTTGAATTCTGCAGAGGTGTTGCTGTCCTCCTCCCCTCGCTCAGGGACCGGAGGCAGATGAGCAATGAAACAGACCATAAAAACTACCAAAGCGCAGAAAGTACCCCTGGAAAAGCTCCTTTTTCAGCTGGATGGGTGCAGCCCTCAGCCGTGCGTTGTGCCTGTTACCAGGCTGGCAAGGTCCTGGCTCCTCCGGGCAGGGCCCAGGGCCCCCGCTCCTCTCCCTGCGGCCGGTTTCGAGGTAGGGACTGACCTGGCTCGCTCCTGCAGCGTGAAATTTGGATAAGCCAGGACGGTTTTCTCAGATGGAAGTTTTCAGCTCAGCGTTGACCTCTTTGGGGCCAAAAGAAGGGAGGGAAAAAGAAAAAATACTCATCCTTTGCTTGGTTTGGGTGGGACCCGCTGCGGGCAGGGTGGGAACCACCTGAGCCGCTCATGCGAGGGGGAACGGGGGGGTTTGAAAGCACCAGGCACGTAACGCTTACGTATCTGGCCGGGTTTTACACCC